CCAGAATGCGGCGGAGCAGGAACTGGGTGACCATGGTGACCTGGGCCATAGAGAAGTGATTGATTTGGACAAACGGAGCCAGCAGTATGGGCCCCAAGCCACCATGGCTCCCTGTGCGAACCCAGGGCTCTGCTGGCCTGGTGGGACAGACTCCATGGACAGGGGTGGCTCATGGAGCAGGAAGTCATGTCACCCCTAGCAGTGATGCTCCAGGAGCTTCAGAATAGGATCCTGATCCCTCCTCCCTGAACTATCTCCTTTTTCCTGTCCCATCTCCTCCTCCCTGTCCTGCCCCCTGCTGTCTGTTGTACCTGTTGGCCTCATCTGGGCTGAAGCCAGTGACTGCCTGAGGGGGTGAGGGGAAACAGTAGAAAGCAGTGGCTCCCTCCTGCCTTCAAGGGCACCCCTGAAGGGCCATATCCACTGTGGACCCCATTGGTGTCAGCCAAGGTTTGTAGAGGTGACACTGCAGCCCAGTGACTGCCTCTGCCCTGCCCTGCTCTGCCCTCCCTGCACAGGTGTGGCCAGGAGCAGCACTGCCCAGCCGGCCTGCGCCCCCTGCTGAGGCGGCCTTTCCAGCAGCTGACTGTGTGACCAAGCTCTCCAGGCCCCTGAGCTGTGGGTCCATTGGCCCTACAGTTCTGCAGCCGAGACCCCTCTACTGGGCTCTGTCTTGCTTTGCTGTGGGTGCCAGGGCTGCAAGAAGCAAGGGTGGGAGACCCTTCTGACTGGGTGCTGCCCCCTGCCTGCTGCCCCCAGGCACTCTCCTTTCTCCAGGGCTTCTGTGCTCTTGTTCCCCGTGGCTGCCTAGGGACAGGTGTGTGGGATGGAGGGGGCAGGAGGGGCTGAGTTCTCCCCCGTGGGTCCCCAGATGCAGACCCTGAGATGAGGGAGAGTGAGAAAATGAAGGAAAGAATAGCTGGGAGTGCAGAACGAAGCTGGCCTGGGCCACTGTGGGCAAAGGGAACCGAGCCCTGGGGAGCCCTGGGAGAGTGTGGGAGCCGAGCCTGGGGTGCCCCCTGGGCAAGGCAGAGGGATGATTGTGCCCCAGGTCCCGCCAGTCATGGATGGGGGCGCACACTTTAGTTTGGGCTCCAGAGACAGTGGGAACCCCAGGCCAAGAGCTGCAGGCACTGGGCGGGTGCTGGGTGGGTGCTGGACAGGCACTGGACAGGTTCTGGGCAGGCACTGGGTGGGTGCTGTGTGGGTGCTGGGCAGGTGCTGGGTGGGTGCTGGGCGGTTGCTGGGTGGGTTCTGGGTGGTTGCTGGGCAGGTGGTCCCTGGCCAATGTGGCCACTCATGGTGGGTCCAGCTTAATTCGATAGTGTGACACTCTCATCACACACACATGTTCAAGAGGTAAATGTTTGTCATTTCTATAACCGGGTGCATTTCAGTCTGGAGCTATGGGCTGTGAATCCTGGGCAACTTGGGGGCCTCTCCAGTGTGGCCTTTGGGGGCCTTGGGTGGCGAATGCCATCCCACACGTTGTTAAGGACCTTCAGATGGGAGATGATCCTGGAGGACCAGGGCGGGTGCAGTGTCATCAGAGTGCCCCTAAGAGTGGTTGGGGGGATCAGAATCCCAGGAGGAGCCGGGACGATGGAAGGGGGAGAGGTTGGGAGACGCTGTGCTGCCCAGGAGTGTAGAAACCTCTAGAAGCGCAAAAGGAAGGAAACAGATTCTCCCCCAATGCGGAGACCCAGGGCTGCCCCATGCAGATTGCAGACTGTACTGCCCTGCTCCTGGCGGCTCACTCACATAGGTGACCATGGCTATGGGGTCCCTGGAGCTGGGCTGTCTGCCGCCCTGGAGGACGCTGCACCCTGTTTTCTATCCCATCTACTGCAGGTCTTCACCCTCTCTGGCGCCCTTGCCCTTGGGCATCTCAGGGACTCGAGGGAATTGTGTCATGAAACACAACTGAGTCTGTGAGTGGGTCCCTGGGCAAAGAAGACCTCAGAATGAGATGCCTCCGTACAGAGAGCTGCAGCATCTGGTGACTTGGGATTTGGATGCTTAACAAGAGGCTCACCCTCTCTCAGGAGGGGAGGACAGGGTTGGGTCCCTCGGGAGTGGAGGAAGGGGTTGGTTGGGGGCACATGTCCCGGTCTGGCTTCACTTGCTCATCAGCCCCAGCAGGTGCACCTCCCCCTGTGAGTCCCTGGCTGCCATTGTTCTTTTAGAAGCCCACACCGAAGGGACCCTCTGATCCTCACGCTGGCTGCTCTGCTCTTAAGACGGAGGCAGGAGCTCCCAGGCTGGTGCTCACCCTCCCTCTGCGGGTGTCCAGGAGAATGGGCACTCAGGGTGTCACAGTGTGGGCTTGTGGCCTGTTCTGAGCCCAGAAGCAGCACCTCCTTCATGTGGCTCCTCAGAGGACCAAGTGGAAGACTGGCAGGGGGCGTGGCCTCAGAGCTCCACCCACATTTGCACACTCAGCCTCCCCACTCCCAGCCACATCTTCTGTTCCTCATCATTGTCCTACTGTGGTGGTGAAAACCAAATCTCTGTCAAAGGGGTTTTCTCCACCCCCTTTCCCAAGGTTGTAGTTTGGGGAGAAGGTTTGAAAATTGCCTGTCCTTGGCAGTGGGTGGGAGTGCTGGGCACCTTGTCCTGGGGTCTTCTGTCCACACAGACATCTGTTGTGGCTTCCACAGTCCCCTAGCCCCTGCCTGGAAGGAGCATGCAGGGCCCTCCACCCACTCCGGTGGAGGGAGCACAGAGCCCACACAGCCTCTGGAGCTTTCCCCAGCGCGGTCTCACTGTCTCGTGGTTTCTGCTCCAGGTAGAGAGCAGTGAGGAAGGGGACTCAGCCTCCATGCCTCCTGCCAGCCCAGCTGCACCCTGGTCACCTCCCTCAGGGAAGGACGTCAGCCTCTGCTCGGACACTGTGGGGACAGGCCCCTGTGTGCTTCAGAGGCATCTAGTGTCAGAAAAACATCCTAATGCCGAGCCCTGGAAAAATGGCCTTGAGGTTGCGCATGCAAAGGAAGGAGGAAGGGCCCCAGGTGCTGCAGAGGATGGCACTAGCTGACGGAGCCGCAGGGCGGTGTCGTGTGAGCGAGCTCGGGATATATGAGGACCCGAGGCTGCTGGCAGTGCTGAGCGCCACGCCTGCCCATCTGTCGCCGTAGTCATCCCTGGGTGGATTAGCAGACTTCACTTTGTACGATACACTCTTTCATATTTAAATTTTCATGAGAGAATGAATCACTTTTACACTTTTTCACTAAAAGAAAAAGACTGTCCGTGTTGTTAACGTGCACACAGCAAGTTGGTAGGCCAGGGAGGGTAGGTGGTGGGGAAGCTGGCCCGGGTGTCCCTTGCAGCCTGGAACAGCCCACGCCTGCTCCACTGTCCCCTCTGGGTTCCCTGTCAAAGAGGTCAAAGCGTGGAGGGACTGATGGGTAAAGGTGTGGAGCTGCAGGTGCACAGTGCAGGTGGCACTTGGCAGAGGTGGTTTATTATCAAGCAAAGGATGAGACAAGGCACCCAGAGCCCTTTTGCAGCTGGAAACCCCCCTGCAGGTGCAGGGCTGGGTTGGACTGGGGTCCCTGGGGACTCAGGGTAGTCTTAGGCAACCTGGAACCTGGCCCTTCCCAGGTGCAGTTTCCTCGAAGCTCTGGCCCACAATTTAGTATTTTAGAGTTGGCACGTCTCACATTGACAAGAGTGGCCATCATCGAAACAAACGCTCAGAGTGGACCAGTGATTTTTCCTAGCCACCCTGGGGTGAGTGCGGCTCATGTCACACACCGGGAAGCCCAGGAGCAGGGATGTGAACCATCCAGTCCCTGGCAAGGGACCACCCCATGTCCGAAGGCCACATCCATTTTTCTGATTGCAGGAAATGGCTCAGCCTGAAGTTCAAGTTTTCCTCTGAGCTCCTGGTGATTAATGTGGCAGAGAGACCGTGTCGTGGGATGTGCTGCCAGAGTGTCAAAGGAGAGCTAAGTGTTTCATTGCCGATGCTCAGGCAGACAGGGAGGCGCCTTGGCACAATTCTGCACAGGGTATTTGGCAATAGCAACAAAATCACAAAGTCACAAGCCCTGTGCCCCAGAAACACCAATTTTACGGTAGGAGCTGATGCCGTGGGGGTTTGCCCAGAGAAGAAGGAAAGAGGTGCCCACGGTGCACGCTGGGAAAAGCAAGAGACTAGAAACAGCCCAGCGCCGTCCTTCAGGCTGTTTCCTGATCACTATTAGGGGCTCCAGGCTGGGCCCCAGGGGAGCGGCTCCTGATCAGATGCAGGCCCTGCTCCTTCCCCAGCACAGAGCTGGTCAAGGAGGTGGACATTCATTCATTCAAGAGGTTCTGAGTATTTCAGCAGCACCAGGCCCGGTGAAATCACGGTATCGCAGATGACAGTGCAGAGACCCCTGAGAGGGCAGAGACCCCCCTTCCTTGTTTGCCACCTTCAATGTCATTCTCCCCCTCCCCCGAGTGGGGGGCCGTGGTGGTCTTAGTTACCCTCACGTGGCTTTAGGACCCTTGGAGCATAACTAAGCCCCCAAAGGCCCTGGTCTTCCACCAACATGATTTTTAGGAGGACAAAGCTCCCGTGGCTCCTGTGGGTGGGCAAGGTGACTTGCTGTCCCTGGGAAGGCGGCACCCCACCGGGCGCCTCTGCGGGTGTGACTCAGGGGTGGCCTTTCTCTACGAGGCTGCGTGGGTGAGAGCCTCTGGCCCAGGGTGGATGTGGGGATGGGCCCTGTTGGAGTGTGCGGGTCTCCAGGGTGGGGAGTCTGGAGCTGTGGTTCGTGCAGGCCCAGGAGCCTCTGTCTGGAGTGCTGCAGTGCCGGTGTCTGGGTCCCATCCTCACGCTCCCCGTGGGCATCCAGGCTGGAGTGCTGGTGTCTGGTCTGGGTCCTCACGCTCCCCATGGGCATCTGGGCTGGAGTGCTGGCGTCTGGGTCCCGTCCTCACTCCCCCCACACCATGGCTGTCGCCCGATGTTTTTGGCTGACTTTTTCTGGAAGAATGTGAGACCAGGGTTGACATGGAAGCCGTTCATTTATTTTGGAGGTGACCCGGGAAGGCAGGGAGTGGGGAAGGGGGTACCAGTGAGGGCTGATGGCCTAGTGCCCCTGCTGGGCACTCTCCAGTGACTCTCCTGGGGTGGGGAGGAGGCTGGGTATTTATCCAACTCCTGCCTGTGGGGAGGACAAACGAGGGCCGCTCCAGAGATGTCAACTGCCCAGCACCCAGCCTGCCCTGGCCCAGGCAGAGAGCCCTGGGCAGAGTCTGGCATTGCCGCCAGTGTGAGGGTACAAGTGCCCGGCATCCAGTCTCCCCAAACCCAGGGAGAGCGCCCTGGGCAGAGCCCCAGATTGCTACCAGTGTCCTTTCCTGGCAGTCATCTGCTGTACTGGCAGCATGGAGGCCCAGCCACAGGACCCCCCTTCCCCAGGGTTCTGCCCCATCCTGACAGAACTGGCACTGGGGCCCGAGATGAGACCTCAGTGCTGCGTGGTGCCTGGGGTGGGGGACCGACTGGGAGTGGGTGGGAGGCAGGTGCTTTCTGAAGTGTTCCTGGCCTGGCCTTTGTCCAGTGAGCTCTAGACACAGCTGCTGACCCTGAGGGCCCCAGTGCCTGCAGTGAGGGAGGCTCTGACCCCTTCTCAGGACCCCAGTGCCTGCCCCTTTGACCAGCTGCAGACTGACCCTCGGTGGCCATGGGTCTTGAACCAGGTCAGGTGGTGAGGGTTGAGCTGACAGGGCCTTGCCCCAGGCCCTGGGTAATTGGCTGGGGTTCTGGGCCTGGCTGGGGGGGTCCCCAGTGGCTCTGCTAGTCACCTGGTTAGTTGTCCTGGTAGGATGAGAAGCAGCAGGTCTCACAGACCCAAGGAACGAGCCCTTCCTTTTGAGATGGGAGGCCCTGTGCAGGCTGAGTGTGCCCCAGTGTAAGCACTTTTGTGCGTGTGTGCACATTCATGTTTACCTGCCATGCCTGTGTGCGCGTGCAGGCAATGTGTATATGCCCTTGTGCCTGTGTGTGCGTGCTGAGTGTCAATGTGTGGATGTCGCCATGATGCATGTACACATGGGTGCATGTATGTGCACAAGGGTGCATGTGTGTGTGCACGAGTGTGTTGTGTGTGTGCACGAGTGTGTTGTGTGTGTAAGCACATGGTGGCACATGTGCATGATGTGTGTGCATGGGTGTGCATGTGCTTGCATGTGTGCATGCTGCATTCGTGTGCGTGGGGTGTGTGTATGTGAATGTGTATGTGCTGTGTGCATGTGCGTGGGGTGCATGTATGTGCATGTGTACATGCTGTGTGCACGTGTGGTGCATGCATGTGCATGTGTGTGCTGTGTGCATGTGTGTGATGTGTGTGCATGTGTGCAGGCTGTGTGGGTGGGTGCATGCATGTGCATGTGTGTGTTCTCTGTGTGGGTGCATGCATGTGCATGTGCTGTGTGTGTGGGTGCATGCATGTGCATGTGCTGTGTGTGTGGGTACATGTATGTGCATATGTGCTGGGGAGGGCCCATTCATCGTGTGCTGCAGGTGCTGGGCGAGTGCCAGTTCCTCCTCGTCCGCCTTGCACTCGATGCCCTGCCTTGGCTCCCTGCCTTCCCCTCACTGGTTCTCTCTCTGCTTGGCGTCATTCATTTCATAAATTCAGCCTGGCCGTGGTTTCCATGGCACTCTGATAAAATCTGGAATTCCAGTCATAATTGCAGTGAGTAGGGGAGCTGGGAGAGGGGAGGAGGCGGGAGGGACCCTTTTCTGTACAGGAAGCTCAGGTCTCAGTGGCTGTGGCTGGTTTTTCTTCCTTCAAAGGTATTTAGAGTGCATAGAATTCTCTTCCAGAGCTCTCTGTTACCTAGCAAAGACAACGGGCTGGTATTGTCCTCCTGTGGGGGTCTCATAGCCCACAGGCGTCTGTCTCTGTGCTGGAACGGGGTGGAGCTCAGCAGACCTGCTGGGTGGGGAGGGGCTTGACAGGGGTTCTGGCTTCATGGGACAGTGGCTGTGGGACTGGCATTCAAGGGTGCCTGGGGCAGGCTGCCTGGCCAGTGTCCCCACATCTCCCACTCCATGACTGGGCTGGAATTCCACGACCATATTTCCATTCTTACCATGTTCTCGTCAATGTCAGTGAACCTCGGGTTGAGGCACAGTGATCCCCAATGCCCTGAGTGAACGGGGATTGTGAGAATTCCCTGCAGGGGCTGGGGCAGCAGAGCCCCACACCCTCCTTTCTGTGCCCAGCCAGGGGATGCCAAGTCAGCCAGGTCTGGAGGAGCACTGAACAGATGAATGAATGAATGAAGGGACGGAATGATGGAGAAGGTATAGGGAGGTAGCTCTCCCACCCCAGGGTGCATCTGACTCTCCTGGAGAGGTTATTAACATGCAGATTCCCAGGCCACCACAGCTTCTGATCGCCTGGGGCTCAGCTGGGGTCTGGGAAGCTGGTCTGGAATAGGTTTCCCAGTGGTTCTGTGTCTGCCTGCCCAGGAGACACAGGGGCTGTGGCAGCGGGAGTGCTGAAGGCTGGTGGTTGGGAAAGGGGCTTTCCTCTTTGTTCCCCAGAGGACAGCATTTGGCTGTCGACAAGGCCCTGGCTCTGCCCCGGTGGCTTGTGGCTGGGTGGGGGCCCTGAGGCACCCTGGTATGCGAGATGGAGGCAAAGGTAGGGAGGCAACAGGTGGATGAGGCAGGGATACCCTTGGTGCAGAAGGTACTTCTGGAGGCTGTCAGCCCTTGTGGGTCCTCCTGTGGGGGTGTTCTCTCATCCTCGCATGGGGATGTCCTCCTGTGGTGGGTGCTCTTTCATGGGGGTGTCCTCCTGTGGGGGCATCCTCATCAGCTCAGAAGCAGATGGTAGCTGGGTTTTCATCCTTTCTTTCTTTTTTTTCGTTCTTTTTCTCTCTCTCTCTTCCTTTCTCTCTTTCTTTCTTCTTCATGGAGTTCTCATTCTGTCACCCAGGCTGGAGTGCAGTGGTGTGATCTTGGCTCACTGCAGCCTCTGCCTCCTGGGTTCAAGCAATTCTCCTGCCTCAGCCTCCCCAGTAGTTCAGTCTACAGGTGCCTGCCACCATGCCCGGCTAATTTTTATATTTTTAGTAGAGACAGAGTTTCACCATGTTGGCCAGGCTGGTCTCAAAAACTCCTTCAAGTGATCCTCCCGCCTCAGCCTCCCAAAGTGCTGGGAGGACAGGCATGAGCCAACGCCCCTGGCTGTTTTTAGTTCTTTAAACGCTGGCATTCGTGTGGCTGAGAACCCCACTGTGTGTTTACGGAGGACACTGGGTATGTCCCCAGTCCCCACGAGCCTTCCCGATGCGCCCACCTGCTGAGCCTGGGAGGAGGCCGACCTTGTTCCCTGGATGCTCCCACTCTTCCCTCCTTGGCACTGAACCTAGGGATCCCTAGAGAGAGGCAGAACTGGTAAGGCCTCGGGGACCTCAGGCCACTCCCACTTGCTGGGCAACTCCCCTGCACTGGGTCTTGGTTGTGGAGAGCCCTGGGTGTGCTGAAAGCCGAGAGAAACCAAAGAGAAGCCAGTCGGGCTGGTGGTTAATGTAACAAAGACCCCGGAGAAAGGGAAGGGCTGTGGGGCTGGGGGACCTCCAGGCAGAAAGTGAGGGGCTCAGCGAGAAGCCTGGAGGGGAGGAGGGGTGGTGACTGTGGATGGAGCAGCCCTGTGTTCTCTTGTTTGTTGATCTGGGTTTGCCTCCATGCCACGCAGCACCCCATGATTTATTGGGGTGACACTGAAACTCACTACCAAACAGTAATTATTCCTCCCGGCCATGAGCAGACTTTCTTACTTTAAGGAGAATCATGTTGTCTGAATCCAAGAATTTTACTTAAAAAATGTAGCCAGGGTTAAAAAATTGCCATTGGCATCACCACTGGCACTGCTGTTGGCACCACTGTTGGCTAACAGCCTGTGTGAAAGTGTGCGTGGGGAACGGGCACGAAGGTCTGACCAGGCAGGTAGGGGAGGGCACCCTTCATTCGAGACCCCCAGATGCCCCCAGGCCTTATGTTCGATCCTCCACCTCTGCCCCCCACACCTGCACCCCAGCCCTGCCCCTGAGTGTGACCTGCATCCTAGGGGTCTCCTGCAGAGCCCACCTGTGTCCTAGGGGGTCTCCTGCAGAGCCCACGCGGCCGCCCTTCTGGTCAACCTGCTTGGGGCCACAGCCCACCACACCCTGCTCTGCCTGGCTGCCCGACCGGCAGTCCTCCCCGGCATGCTCTCCCATGCCCCCACCAGGGGAAGAGAGGAGCCAGATGGCTCCTGGAGGCGGAAGCAGACCCCAGGAGGCTCTGGGTGCAGCCCGGGCGGAGCATCTAGACAGTGTGGCGTCTGAGGCTGAGGTGGCAGAGCCCGGGCGGGTGCAGGGCCTCCTGTCAGGTGAGCATCTCTGATTTGGGGGTAAAGCCACCCACGCCCTGTCCCTCATCCCTCTCTGAGCCCCGCAGCCTGGATCTTCCTCCTGCCACTGGCACCAGCGGCCCCCACCAGACCCTGGAGAAGCAGCCTGGCTCTGCCCTCTCACTGCTCCCGGGTCCTGGTGTGCTGGAGGCTGGGGGCTGTTCTGGCCTGGCAGCTCCTGCGGAGGAGGAGGGGTGCCCTTCTGCTGGTCATGGTCCATGGGAGATGGGGTCTTCTGAAAGTCCCACAATGGTGAGGGCAGAGCCAACACCAGCGCTGGGTAGCCTCCCCGTCCCTAGTCTCCCGGCTGGTGGGCATGCAGGGTGGGTAACCAGGGGCACACAAGGGTTGCTAGGGCCATGGTCCCCAAGCTCAGGAGGCTGTGGGTCCCTGGCAGATTAATAACGCCTTGGCTTCCTTGGCCAGTCAAATGGGGACAATGACCTAAGGACCCTGAACTCCAGGGCGGCTGGAGGCTCCTGCACAAGCTGGGTTCAGCCAGGGCTCCCAGCAGTGCCTGGCAGACATCTGCCCCTAAAGTCCTTCTCTCCCAATCATCTTCCTCCTCCTCCAGAGAGACAGCCCCCAGCCTCAGGGAGGAGGGGAGGAGAGGCTCAGAGGGAGGAGAGGAGTGGGGGGAGGCTCCGAGGTGGGGGAGGGAGGAGAGGCTCAGAATGGGGAGAGAGTGGGGGGAGGTTTGGAGGGAGGAGAGGAGGGGGAAGAGCCTCAGAGGGAGGAGAGAGAGGAGAGACTTGGTGGGGAGAGGAGATGAGAGGTTCAGAGAGGTGAGAGGAGAGGCTTGGAGTGGAGAGCAGAACAGGTTGAGGCAGTGCCATGCCCTGGACACCTCCAGAGTGATAGGAGGGTGGCACCTACCTGTTGGTGGAGGGGCTCAGACTAGGCCAGGGTGGGACAGAGAAGGAGCTGGGCGGCTAGGCATGAATGATGCTGGTTCCTTAACCTTAAACAACAAGGAGTGTCAAAGCCTGCGGATGATTCGGGCCATGGTCCTCCCCTGAAGGCTCAGGGGTGTGGACAGAGTGGGCAGGGAGCTCTTCAGAAAAGACTAGAAAAAGGCTCCAGAGTCAAGCCACCCTCTGTTCTTCAGACACTACCCTAAGTTGCAAGTCCTATGGCCATCTTTCTAGGTTGAGGCCTGGCCCGTGGAGTCACAGGGAAGATCTGAGGGCCCCATAGCCTGGTCTTCAGAGATGGTCCCGTGGGGCAATTCTGTATACTTGCGGGAAGAGCTGCGGGCCAGATGGGCTGGGTAGCGGCGACGGTTGATGTCCATTTTGGAGAGGCAGAGGTCCAGGGCCTGGGCCCCGCTCTGGGCCAGGAGGGACACTGGCCTGGCTGCCAAGGCCAGAAGCCAAGGAAGGCAGCCTCTGCCTCCCCCCAGGCCTCCTCCCTCCTGGGCCCCCTGATGGGGCCAGCCTTGGTGCTTGGGGCAGGGCCCTGAGTGCTGACTTCTGCATTATCCCAGGTCCTAGCTCACGGCAGAGCTGGAGTCCAGCCCAGGACCATGGGCATCTGCCCCGGCACCCTCATGGCTGTGCTGTGCCACCTGGGGAAGCGCTGGCATCCACTCTTCACCCAATGATCGCCACGCAGCCTCTGGGTTCACAACCTGGGCCCCCCGAGGCTCCACATGGTGGGTGGCCTCTCCCTGTGCCCCCTCGTGGTAGTAACAGCAACGGGAAGGGGAGGCCGAGGCGCAGGCTCTCCTCGCCCCATCCTCCGCCTGGCTCTGGGCTTCCCTCTGTCAGGGCACTTAAGGCTTCCTGGGAGAGCTGCTGTGGGTTAAGAGGGTCTTCCCAGAGGCGCTGCAGCCTCTTCTGAATCAGGGTCCCAGGGGTCCTCTCTCCAGCTATCACCACTTCCAAGCTGGGCAGCCACGGCATGGGTGGGGGGAAGGTAGGGGGACCATGCCCCTAGTGGGAGGGAGCTTATCTTCTGTCCTTTGGGTTAAGGTGTGGGGATCTTTGTTACCAGGAGATGCTGTGGCTGCTAACACTTTAGCACGGATAGGGACAGGCTGAGCCTGGTGGGGATCTGGGGCAGGGCAGGGGCAGTGCCCCATGGGAGGGCAGGTGAAGGTGGGTGCTGGGTGCTGGGTGCTGGGAGGGAGGGACTCAGCAGCATGTGCCAAAACCCCTTTAGATGATTAGAGCTACAGTTCATCTTTTGCACTCTCACCCAGACGCCTCCTGCCCTGTGCCACCCGACTGCCCTGAAAGGAGGAGTCCTGAGCACAGGGCAACACCACGTAGAGACTCTCAGAGTGCCCAGTGCTGCAGGGAGGGGCAAGCAGGGCTGGGGATGCCCAGGGTGGCCAAGAGGACCCTCAGGAAGGGGTGCTCCCTGCCACCAGGACCCAGGAACCATGGCAGGCTCCTGAGCACAGGGGCCCCAAGGCACCTCCCCTCTGCCTCCCCACAGACCCCTACTCAGCCCCTCCATGGACACTCAAATTCCTCAAGCCCCTGACCCACCTTCTTACTCCCCTGCTGCTCCCCCAGTACCTGCCCTTCTCCTCTCCAGCCACCCTGGGCCCCTCATGTCCCTGGGGAGACCACTTACTCCTGAACTCTCCCTTGCTCAGGCTCTGCCTCCCACTGGCTCACCTGCCTCCTCCTCCAGGCAGCCTTCCTGGACTGTTTAAGCCCAAGCAAATGCTTCTTTTGCTGCGCTCCACAGGGTGAGCCCAGCACTCCTAATCCTGATGCCCAGGAGGCTTGTGAGAAAGACCCCACCCTGCAGACTCTGCTCTCACTGGCCTCCTGTGGCTCAGGCAAGCAGGAGAAAAGGAGCACAGTGAAGAGCCCGAGCCCCCAGCCCAGGGACGTGGAGTGCCCTGGGGCTTGGTGGGGGAAGAGTCTGAAACGGTGGGTCTGGGAGATGCCTGGGAACCATCATTTTCAGAGCAGAAGCCCTGGGGTGGGGATTCAGCCACAACTTCTGTCTCCTCAGTGGCTGGCATGGGGCTGGGCCCAGGCCAGGGGCTTGGTACTACAGCTGGGCCTATCCGTCCACCGCTGAGGCCTCGATGGGGCCACGGACCTCCCAACCACAGGATCCCTGGCTGACTAGAGGGCCCCATGGAGATCTGAGCTGAGTGGTCGTGGGACCCTGGGGCCCCCTTCACTGAGCCTCCTCTGTGCCCAGCTCACAGATCAGGAAACTGAAGCTCGGGGGGCGGGGGTGAGAACTTGCCCACACAGGACCCTCAGAGATCAGAGGCCCTGCAGGGGGCTGTGCTGCTGGAAGCCCTAGTGAATGAGTGGGTGAGTGACTGAGTGACTGAGTGACTGAGTGAGTGACTGAGTGAATGAGTGAGTGAATGAGTGACTGAGTGGGTGAATGAGTGACTGAGTGGGTGAGTGAGTGAGTGACTGAGTGACTGAGTGAGTGAGTGACTGAGTGGGTGGGTGAGTGAGTGGATGGGTGAGTGACTGAGTGAGTGAGTGAGTGAATGAGTGACTGAGTGACTGAGTGACTGAGTGAGTGAGTGACTGAGTGACTGAGTGACTGAGTGAGTGAATGAGTGAGTGAGTGAGTGAGTGAGTGAGTGAGTGAGTGAGTGAGTGAGTGACTGAGTGAGTGACTGAGTGACTGAGTGAGTGAGTGACTGAGTGGGTGGGCACATGCAGGCCCTCAACACTCGAGTCCACATGGAGGGCCCTTGGCCACCTTTACTGAGAGATACAGGGGTTTTCGTCAGCTGCAGAAAGCGGGGGCCGGGGTGGGCGTTTGAGCTCTGGGGGCTGCATCATCACTGGGGGCCAGCTCAGGGGCTCCGGACTCCATGACCAATGCACTCATGGCACGTGGGGCTGGCTTCTGGGGTCACATCATAGCCTGGCCTCGAGCTAATGAGGCGAGATCGGGTGTAGTGGCTGTGTCCGTGGCGTGTGCACATGTATCCCTATCCACAGCAAATGCAGATAGGAGCGTAAAGACACTAACAGGAAAAGCCAGCTTCAGTGGCAGCCACAGACCTCGCCCCGGAAACCCTGTGTCTACTGAGGGTCTGCCCCCTCTCAAGGTACCATCCATTCTGCCTATTCTGGAGGGTTCCTCCAGGGCAGAACCATCCAGCTGAGAGGGTAGAATGACCGCACACTCTTAGATGAAGAAACTGAGGCTCAAAAATTATGGCCCAAGGTCAAGGAGCCCCAGAGGAGGGTCTGAGGCTGCAGTGTCTGGCTTCGAGTCCATGTCCTCGTCCAGAGCCCGGCCTGAGGGGGCCTTAGCATTTGCTAGACTCTGAGCCCACTCCCGAGCAGGGGTAGGGGTTGGGCTGACCTCTGGACCCCCTGGCTGGCGGCAAAGGCAAAGCTTCCCTACCCAGAGCAGACCGTGTCATGGGAGCTCTGCTGGGGAGTGAGCTCCCTCTGTGCTGGCCCTATCTTCCTGGGGTTGGTGGCCCTCCGGGGTGGGGAGGCGAGGTTTGGCAGAAAGCTCAGTGAATGGGCTGGTATTCCCTGTGCCCCGGTCTTGGTGAGCCAAAGGGTCCTGTGGTTGGAGAGGGATTTTGTGGGGTTCAAGTAACCCATCAACTCAACAGCCAGATCCAAGTCACTGCAGATACTGTAGCATTAGACTCTCATAGATGGGGAAACTGAGTCTGGAGTCCCCACGGGCTATGCAGGCAGCCTGCTCAGAGCCCACGTCCCCTGGGCAGAGGCTGCTCTGAGACAGGGAGATCCTCGAAATGGCTGAGCATTGCTTTCTGTGGCTCCCAGCTCCCGGCTTCCCCCGCCAGCTTCTCCTGGGACTGTCTTCTCTCGGGCTCAGGCAACCTTCCCGAGCCAGGGGCCCGGCCAGCCTTGTCCTCTATGGAGCCTGGATCCTAGAGACCAGGGAGGCACCAGCTTTCCAACCATCTGGAGGCTGGGGCCAGGGCTGCTGTCGCCAGAGGGTGACACATGAGTCTGTGCCTCAGTCCAGGGCTGCTGGCCATGGTGCCTGGGTGCACTGCTCCCCTTCTCACCTGAGGCCTGAGTCCCTGGGACCTGGTGTCTTGCTCAGGGACCAGGCACCATGGCCCCTGTCCCACATTCCTCTTCTCCAGGCACCCACCTTGAAGCCAGCTCCAGGCCTGGCTGCCAGACATCAGTCTGCACAGCCAGAAGCAGAGCACATGAAGGCTGCACCCCATCCTGGCCATGGCCACCTGGGCGGGTGCGGGAGGCCAGGCCCCTGATCCGGCGTCCCTTCTGCCCAGCCCCAGAGGCCACAGCTGAAGACCGTGAGGCTGAGACCTGAGCCTCCTCCCATGCAGTATCCTGGCCTTGGCCTGGGTGAGGACAGGAGGCAGGAAGGGAGGCAGGCTCTGGGCAATTCCAGGCTGACCCCATTTTTGTCCTTTTTGGGCACATGGGTCCCTCTGGGGGCTGCAGCTGCCTGTGACGAGGGTGGTGGGAGGGACCCCCTGGCCCCAGTTGTGGGCCCCCAGCTGGCCAGGCCCACAGGGGCGAGTCAGGGAGCATCCTTGGAACTGCCTGGGGAAGGTGGGGCATGGGTCTGAGTGGCAGGGTTGGCGAGAGAGGCCTAAAGCCATGGAGCCTGCGGGACGGGGGCAGGACTCCCCAGCTAGACAGAGGGGTGCAGGTCTCACAGATGTGAAACAGGGGAGGGACTCCCCAAGCTAGACAGAGGGGTGCGGGTCTCACAAATGGGGGATGGGTGCAGGATCCCCCAGCTAGACAGAGGGGTGCAGGTCTCACAGATGCGGGACAGGGGAGGGACTCCCCAAGCTAGACAGAGGGGTATGGGTCTCACAGATGGGGGATGGGGGCAGGACTCCCCAGCTAGACAGAGGGGTGTGGGTCTCACAGATGGGGGATGGGGGCAGGACTCCCCAGCTAGACAGAGGGGTGTGGGTCTCACAGATGGGGGATGGGGGAGGGACTCCCCAGCTAGACAAAGGGTCTCACGGATGTGGGCATGGGAACAGCAGCTCAGCTGCCCAAGGCCTGGCTCCACCCAGCACCTTTCATTTCCTTCTCTGGAACCATCCATTAGTCTGGGAACAAAGAAAACCGCCTTTTGTGGCACACTAATTTCTCCTCGTTAGAGGCCCTTTTCTGATGTGGGAGAGGAGCACTCTCTAGTTCTGGCTTTCAGAGGAGATGGGGGAGGGGTTGGGGAAAGGCCCAGGGGACCGGCCCAGGAGACACGGATGAGAAATGGGAAATGGGGGCTGGGGGTGGGAGGGGGTTCCAGGCCTCAGACTCCAGCACTGGCTGGCCTCTGCCTGACCCCGATTAAGGCTCCCCAGTGGGGGCTGCTCTGTTGGGGGCAAGGACCCATGGCCGGGCTCCTCCTGGCCACTGCCCCCGGAGCAGAGCCTAGTACAGCGTCTCGCGGGTGGCATTGCTGGAGAGGGTGTGGTTGCTGGACATGCTGTTGGCCTTCCTCAAGAAGGCCGGTCTCTTCCTCCTTCGAGGCCACATGGGGCAGAGGCAGGCCAGCGTGGCCAGGAAGATGTGGCGGAAGTTGGCGGAGACGAGGTTGTACAGGATGGGGTTGATGGTGGAGCTGACGTAGAAGAGCACGTTGGTAACCATGTAGAAGTAGTGATAGAAGTCATAGAGAAACCTGGGGGAGAGACGCACTCAGACCCTGGACGGGATCCTCCAGGGCAACCTGGGGGAGAGGCACTGAGACCCCAGACGGAACTCCTGGGGTCCCAAGGCAGGGCCACAGAGTTACAGCCGGGGCCACAGTGGCCACAGGACGTGGTGGCTCAGATGCTAATTAAAACACCACTTGGGAGTGGTGGTGTATGGGGACATTTCATAACTAGCTCCAGGGTGTGGCCTCTCCTGAGCAGCGGAAGTTCTGGTTGTGCTCCCCGCCCACTCCCCCGGCCAGGGCTTCTTTAGGTGGGGCCTGGGCTCTGCTCCTCCACCCCTGCCTCTCCCTGAGCTTCCCCCTGCCTCTCCTTGAGCTGCCTGCATTGCCTTTTGAAGTCCTGTGCCTCCAAGGGTCCAGGGCGTGGCTGGTCTCCAGCCTAACCAAACAGCCAGGGTGGGAACCCCGTCCATGCCTCCCCAGCAGCCACATACCTTGCCCTCAATGTGTCGCCTCCACCCACAGAGATCTCACTCCCTCACCAGGCAGCTCAATTACCAGCAGGCAGCCCTGAGTTTCAGAAGCTTTTCTGGGGGCCGAACTCTGCTCCCTGTGCCTCTACCAGCTCCTGGGTCCTAGGCATGCCCTCCCCAGTGGCTGCCACTGGGAGGAACCTTTTATCCTGGGACCTGGCAGCCCTGCTGTGCAGAAAAGTAGGCCCAAAGCTGCCATCTCAGGATAGCCAGCTGGCAAGGCTGGCCTCTAGCTGGCGCCTGGGGTCTTGGATTTTGAGAAGGCTCCTGCCATTTCCTGATGAGAGGGGCTCCCTGCACCTGAACTCTTGATGCAAACAGTGGGGGTTTTGCTGAACACCTGGTTTCTCTTCTGAGACTCTGGACTCTTGTTGCATGCCAGGCAGTGGGTGGCCCTGTGATCGGCCCCCACATCGTCCTGTGCGGCTCCTCTGGGAGGGGCCCCGGAAGCTGCATCTGGTCTCCCCCTGACCCCACTTTGTGTATCTTCTCCCTTTGCTGACTCTGCTGTATTAGCAAAGCAAAGCCTTGTCAGTATTGCAGCTCTTTCTGGGATAAGTCACAGCCCTGAGTGTAACTGCAGGCTGAGCCCTGTGGGTCCAACCTGGGTGGCCTTGGGGCTCTGACAGCTGCCATATGGGGAGGTGACACCCCCACCATGTCCCTGGTGGAGCCAGAGATGTCTCTCTTTAGGCCTTCAGGAAACTGCCTGGGCCAGTTCCTAGGACCAACTTTCCCTCTCTGCTCCAGACTGGCCTACTCAGCCCCTGCCCTGAACCTGTCCCTCCATGGCCTCCTCCTAGCCCCAGTCACAGCACACCCCTGCCCAGGGGGTCACCAGGGGACTTACCACACCCCTACCCTGTTCGGGTCCTCTCAGCAGTGCCTGCCACACCCACCATCTATTTTGGGGAGCACTTGCCCAGCACCCGACCTCCCAGTACTCACGGAGTCCACTGCTCATCCGAAATGTAGCAGAACATGAGGCGCCGCACGTGATAGGGCAGCCAGCAGACCACAAAGGCAATGACCACTGCACCTGAAACACAGAGATGTGGGCTCAGTGGGGAGACATGGGCTCAGAGTCAGGACATAGGCTCAGAGGCAGGACTCAGGCTCAGAGGCAGGACTCAGGCTCAGAGGCAGGACTCAGGCTCAGAGACAGGACACGGGCTCAGAGATAGGACATGGGCTCAGAGATAGGACACAGACTCAGAGACAGGACTTGGGCTCAGAGGCAGGACTCGGGCTCAGAGACAGGACTCGCGCTCAGAGACAGGACACGGACTCAGAGACAGAACACAGACTCAGAGACAGAACACGGGCTCAGAGATAGGACACAGACTCAGAGACAGGACTCAGGCTCAGAGATAGGACTCAGGCTCAGAGAGGGAGAGATGGGCTCAGAGACAGGACACAGGCTCAGAGAGGGAGAGATGGGGGCTCAGAGACAGACATATGGGCTCAGAGACACAAGGATATGGCCTCAGAGAAAGACATGGCCTAAGGGAGAATGCAGGGAGATATACCATGTTCATGGATTGGAAGACTTAGTATTGTTAAGTTGTCAGTGCTACCCAAAGCACTCTACAGAGTCAATGCAATCCCTACCAAATTTCAATAATGCTTTTTGTGGAAATAGAAAAATCTATCCTAAAATTTATGTGAAATCTCAAGTGATCCTGGATAGCCAAAACAATCTTGTAAAAAAATAAAGTTGGAGATCTTACACTTCTTGATTTGAAAACTTACTACGAAGTTACAGTGTGGTGGTGGCATACAGGCAGACAAATAGACCTAGGGAATAGAATAAAAAGCCCAGAAACAAACCCTTAGCTTATGGTCAAGTGATCTTCAACCAGGCCAGTCAGTGGGGAAAGGACAGTCTATTCAGCAAAAGGAGTTAGAAAACGGGACACCCAGTTGCATGAGGATGGACCCTTACCTAACACCATATGCAAAAATGAACTTTAAGTGGATGAAAGACCTAAACGTGAGATCTGAAATTATAGGCTGGGCATGGTGGCTCATGCTTTTAATCCCAGCACTTTCAGAGGCCAAGGTGGGTGGATCACCTGAGGTCAGGAGTTTGAGACCAGCCTGGCCAACATGGTGAAACCCTGTCTCTACTAAAAATACAAAAATTAACCAGGCATGGTGGCAGGTGCCTATAATCCCTAGTTACTTGGGAAGCTGAGGCAGGAGAATTGCTTGAATCCAGGAGGTTGCAGTGAGCTGAGATGTAGCCATTGTACTCCAGCCTGGGCAACAAGAGCCGAACTCCTCAAAAAAAAAAAGGTCTGAAACTATAAAACTCCTAGGAGAAAACATGCTGACTTCACAGCATTGAGTTTGGCAATGATTTCTTAGGTATGACACCAAAAGCACAGGTCACAAAAGGAAAAAGTAGATACATTGAACAACATAAAAATTAAATTTCTGTGTGTCAAAGGGTATAATCAGGATAGTGGAAGTCGGCTCACAGAAAGGGAGGAAATATTTGCAAATTACATCTGATAATGAGTTAAGACCAAGAGCAGAACTCCTAAAGCTCAACATAAAAACAAACAATCCAATTCAAACATGGGCAAAGGACTTAGACAGTTCTCCAAAGAAGACGTCAAAGGTTGACAAGCATGTGAAAAGATGTTATCGATCATTCATCATAAATCACTGGACAAATGCAGCTCAAAACCACAACGAGATGCCACCTCAAATCTATTAGGACGGCTACTACTAAAAAATCAGGCCACACCGGGCCCAGGTCACACCTCAGAGGATGGCAGGCCAGCCAGCCTGGCATGCTGGCGCTGGTCCTCAGGGTTCTGATAGGATGGGCCCTGCCCTGCTGGGGGTGTCACCAGCCCCGAGCTCTCTGTGTCCAAAGCCCTGGGTGGTTCCCCAGGGAAGGGCAGGGAAGGCCGAGCCCAGAGCCAGGCTCTCTCAGGCTGATGTGCTTAGCTGTGGGCCTCTCCTGTGGCTGGCCACACCCTCGAACAAGCCCTGAAAATGGGCCAGCACCAGGGAGGACTCAAGCCAAATACTTCAGGCAAAGCAACTGAAGACCTGGGTGTCGGGTGTGAAAACGTTTCATTCTCTCCAGTTCCCATCACACTCTCCAAGGCCTGTGTAGATGGAAGCGTCCACCCTGCCCCTGCCCCTGCCTTCTTGCCAAGCATCTCCCCCTCCACAGGGCCTTTGCTCCAGCCAACTCCTCACCACAGCTCTGTTGCCCAGACAGGCTCCTGGTCCTTGGGACTTGCAGAATGCCACCTGCTCTGAGAGCCCCTCCCAGTTGCCAGATGTAGTGGTGGGCATGGTATTTTTTTCATCATGCTCAGCTCATGTCTGAAGGTGCCTGGTTTGCTTCCTAGGTGGAGCCCCTGCTCTCCTAGAGTACAGGGTTGCTCCTGCCTATGCTACCTCCACACCTGTGAGCAAGAATGAGTGAGACCCAGGCTGGGCATTCAGTAGACTGCAGAGCAAATGAATGAGTGAGCACACGAGCAAGTGGACGAATGGACGGAGGGAGGGAGGGATGCATGGAGAGAGGGATGAATGAATGGAGGAATGGAACAAAGGATGGAGGGAGGAGGGAGGGAGAGGTGGAGGAGTGAATGGAGGGAGGGATGAAGGGAGGATGGACGGATAGGAGGAGGAAGGGATTGATGGAGGGAGGGAAGGCTGGAGAGAAGGACGGATGGAAGGATGGATGGATGGAGTGTAGAATGGCACTCATCCCTGGGGGCAGTTGGCACCCTTGGGTCTTGGCCTGACAGCTTCATCCCCATGTCTTTAAACCTTGACCAGGCTTGGGGTGGTTCCATGCTGCCTGCCTTTGCTGGCCCTGGCCCACCTCCCACCCCAGAGGGCCCAGAGGTACGTACGTAGGACGTGTACACCATGCCGCAGGGCCTGGACCCTGCCGGGCTCGATGGCCATGCTGAATGTGCTGTGCTGGTCCCCCACCGTGCACACCTGGCCCTGCTCAGCCGCCTGGCGGACCATGACTGTCAGCTTGTTGGCAATGATGGTGTTCAGGACGGAGATGACCACCATGGGGAATATGAAGGACATGAAGGTGTTGACCTGTGGGAGAGGAAGGGTGGGATGTCACAGCTGGCAGCGGGACTCGTGCTGGCCAGGGTGTCAGGTCTGCACGCTTGGAGGCCCTCAATTGCCACCAATTCAGGAGGTCCAGTCCTATCCCGGCTGCCCGTAGACATGGCCACCCTGGCTATAGTTCTAAGCTCACTCCCAGCCTGCCCCGACTCTGCCTCTGACTAGAAAGAAGTTTGCAAACTCCCCCACCTTCATGAGGCCCTCCCGAGGGTCCCGCCTGGATACGGCAAGGAGCACATGCTGGGGTGTCGCTGTGGCAAAGGCCCTGGGCTCTAGGTTCCCAGGTCTGGGCATGTTGCATCTGTGCCTGAGGCCCCCAAGCAGGTAGCTGCCCTGCCTGAGGCCAGTCTCGAAGGATGGCCGAGCCCCGGCCTTGCAGCTGTGTACAGGCGGTTCTCGCAGGTCCTGACAGCTCACGCTAACAGAAGCCCCTTCCTCCCACCTACCCCAGCTACCTCTCAGAGCACTGAAAGGTACAGGGCTCCTCTTATTAGCACCTTAGCCCCCACTGCCTGCACCCCGCCAGCTTCCACATCCACCCACGAGGCTGGGCCACCACTGCCACTCCACCTGATCCACGCCCTGGACAGGCTAGAGGTCTGCTCAGAGACTCCGGCGCGGGAGGGGCTGTGCCGGGATTTGAGCCTGGCCTGAGCTAAGTCCTGCTCCTTCTGCGACTCCTGGCTGAGTCTTGACTTTACAGGCACTGGCCAGGTGGCTGTGGCTTCCCCAGATGGGGCAGTGGCCCAGTCTCCCCCCCAGCCAGAGCTGCTGCTCAGAGTGGGAAGGGGACACATCTGTGGACGTGCAGCAGCGGAACGAGCCGGAATGAGCCAGGGCGGGCTTGGCCCAGCTTCTGATGGAGAAACCAGCTCCTCCATGGGGGGTGGAATGACAGCCATCAGTGGCTTGAAGAGTGTCCTTGGCCTTGGATTCTTTGTAAGATGCTCTTCCCCGCAAGCCAGATATTGGCCTCTGGCTTCTGTACTTGCAGGCTCCATCTTGCTCTGGGGACGAGGGCTGTCCCTCTCTGCCAGGCTGCCCGGGACCATTCTATCTTGTTCTGGGGATGAGGGCTGCTCCTCTCTGTCAGGCTGCCCGGGACCCTCATGCTGAATTGCTGATTCCAAGCAGCTTTTGGGTGTGTTGGAGAAGTGGCCTGCGCTGGCTGTGCGGCTGGTGGCTATGATTTCCATAGGAAGTCCAGGAATATCTGCCACGGGATTCCCTCGGCTGGGCTGGAGGGACTTCCTCCCTCCTGACCTCCTCTCTCCAGGGAGAGCAGAGCTGTGTGGCCTCAACAGTTCAGGTCAGGATGGCCCCAGTGAGGACAATCCTCGCCTAGTCCCACTAACGAAGGCAGCAGTGGCCACGGGACAGGGCAGCCTCTGAGAGGCGGGAATGTCGGCGTGCAGGTTTTCTCCCTGGCCCGCTCTGGGCACTGGCTGAGGTACCTCTGACGGTCCTTCCTGCTCCCACCGAAGCGCCAGGCTCCACTCAGAAGCACTCAGAGACCTTCAGGGAGGAGATGGCCCAAGTTCACCCTCAGGTTCAATTTGAACAAAGATCTGCTAAATGGCTCAGAGGACATTCGTGGAGGGAAGAAGACGCAAACCCCTGGGAGGCAGCACCTTTTGCTCCTGCTGCCTGGTGGGCTCCTGAGAGCCACCACCACCGCCACTGACCCTGCTGGGTGGCAGGTCCGTTCTGCCCTCCCCTGCGTGGGCGTTGGGATCTGGGGCCACCCCACGTACCCTGCGTTCTGCTGCTCTGGCTGAAGTCCAACTTCTGCAGGATGACAAGGTGCCAACCAGGCTGGGGGCGGGTAAAAAGTGCCTCTCCCCGCTGGGAGACTGCTGGGAGGGGCGGGGGTGGCTGGCCCAGCCTCAGGAGACAAACCGATTCTGTGAGTCACCACAGCCCCGGCATAGTTTAAACACCAATATATCCAACACAGATTTTAAATGTCAAAACATTTAAAATAACAACCTCACCAACACAGGCAGCAAAAATAGCTGCCTCAGGGGCTGGTGGGCTGCAGGGTCTGGCCCCAGCCCTCTGGCTGCCCCATTGGAGGAAATCAGACCCTGGGTCCTGCAGTTCCCAGAGGTAGGGAGAGGAGGCCCCTCCCCTGCAGCACCCAAGCAGAGGCCAGCGAGGGGTCACGTGTGCAGACAGAGGGGGTGCAGCCCTGCCTTCCAGAGGGAGTGTGGCCCTTCCCTGCCTCCGGCTCCTGCCCACCCTGGAGGCTGAGGCCGAGTAGGATTGGGGGCTGAGGGGAATGCCCCTACTCCTGGAGTCAGCCTTCTCTTCCCAGACCACAGCTGGAAGCGGGGGTTTTGGCCGGCGCCACTCTTCCTGTCGTCTCTCCTCCTCTGTGGAAGGAGCTGGCTGCCCCCTATGACAAGCAAAGGGAGCATCAGTGAGCAGCGCGAGGCTCAGAGGAAAGGCTGCCGTGGTGCTGGGAGCTTGGAGGACTAAGCCAGGCGCAGGACAGGCCCTCCCTGGGCAGAAGGACCCACTGAGATCATGTCTGTACATCTAGTTCCCGTAAAACACCAGAGCTATCATGGTAGACATACAGCTCCACAACTTAAGTGGGAAACAGTCTCAGAATGGCCGGGAAGGTTCTTTAAAGAAAGCGTGGCAGGTCGCTTGGACGCAGGAGCCTCAGTCTTGCCAGCCACTGGCATGCACCGAGAATGACGTTAATGAGGAGAATTCAGCATCCACAGAGCCCGGTCAGACAGAAGCTCGGCCTGTGATGGACACAGCATCCAAATCATCAGGAGAGGACTGGCCACCCAGGCACGGTGTTGGACAGCTGGCAGACTGGACCACAGGAAGCTGGGTCCTCAGGGCCCCTGTCCCATTCACGTCCTTCTCCTGGGGACCTGTGCACTCTCCATTTCACTGGCATGTGACCACATCCCAAAAGGCTTGGGGGGCCTTCATTGAACAGATCAGCCAAAGATCCATCCCTGCACCAATCTCAGTGGTCTGATGCGGGCCACCCCAGGACCTTGCCAGACACTAGCTTTGCCTGGGCTCACTGAGCAGGAAAGGGCATCTGTGGCTGCGGGTGCCATTTTCCTACCTTTTAGGGAAGACCTGCCTAAGAATGAAGCCAACACGGGTGAAAGAGAGCACCCCAGGACGTCTCTGTGCTCCTGGGCCAAGGTGTGCCTTCAGCTGTTACTCTTGGACTTTCAGTGTATCTTGAGGGAAAGAAATCTTCCTTTTCTCAAGGGATAAGACACTTTGACTTAGCTCCTGGAACTGGTACCCTAACTCACAGAGATCTCACATCAGAATAATTCCAGAGGTTCAGAAGATTAAAAAAACCTAAAACCAAAAACCGTAACATTACTAAAAGAAATCACGGAAGTTTTACATTTAAATGTATATATTTTTAACCTTTTCCGCGGCCTTATTGAGGCATAATTGACAAATAAAAATTGTATCTATTGACTGGGTGCCGTGGCTCATTCCTATAAGCCCAGTATTTTGGGAGGCTGAGGCAGGAAGACCCCTTGAGGCCAGGAGTTTGAGACCAGCCTGGGCAACATAGTGAGATCCCCGTCTCTACAAAAACTAAAAAAAACAGCCAGGCATGGTGGCGTATGCCTATAGTGCCATTGACTTGGGAGGCTGAGGTGGGAGGATCACTTGGGCCCAGCAAGTAGAGGCTATGGTGAGCTATGACTGCCACTGCACTCCAGCCTGGGTAGCAGAGCAAGACGCCCATCTCAAAACATTTGTATCTATTTGCCGTGTACATTGTGAAAGGATTGCCACTGTCAAGCCCATGAGCACATCCATCACCTCACATAGCCCCTTTTTTGTAGTGAGAACACAAGATTTATTCTCCTAGGAAATGTTGAGTGTGCAATGCCGTATCGTTAACACTGGTCCTCAAAGCTCCAGAACTTACTCGCCTTATAACCAAAACGTGGCAACCCTTGACCGACCCCTCCCCGTTCCTCACTCCCCTCCCCCAGCCCTGTGTTCTGCTTTTTCACGAGTTTGCTTTTTCAGATTCCACGCATAAGCGAGATCACACAGCATTTGTCTTTCTGCGCTTGGCTTATTTCACTCAGCATAAGGTCCGCAGGTCACTGCGGTCACAGCAAATGACAAGATCTGATTATGTTTCAAGACTGAGCCACTCTCCCAGGTGCGTCCACACGTCTTCTCCATCTGCTGGTCTGTTGAGGGACCTTGGGGTTGATTCCGCATCCTGGCTATTGTGAGCAGTGCTGCAGTGGACATGGGCGTGCAGGAATCTTTTCGAGACCCGGATTCCACTCGGTTGCATAAACACAACTGGGATTGCCAGATGCTATGGTGGCCCTATCCTTAGCTTTTCTGAGGAGCCCCCACACTGCCTTCCATAATGGCTGTACCAGTTTAATATATTCCCACCGACTCACAAAGATTCCCTTTTCTCCTCAGTGTCCCCAAACACTAGCTGCCTGTGGGCTTTTTGATGGCAGCCACCCTAATGGGTGTGCGGTGACAGCTCCCTGTGGTTTTGCAGTTTCCGGACTAGTGACGTTGAGCACCTCTTTGTAAACCCGCTGGCCATCTGCAGGTCTTCCTTGGAAAAACGTTACTCAGGCACCTTGCCCATTTTTAGACTGGTTATCTTTCTTCCATTTTGTACCCTGGCTTTTCATGTTGTTTCTTTGCTGTGCGGAGACTTTCGATGAAACGTGGTCTCATTCATGCTGCTTTCGCTGTCCGCATTTTTGCTGTCATAGGAAATCATTGTCAAGACCAAAGTCAAGAAGCTTTTCTTCTGTGTTTTCTGCTAGCAGTGTTATAGTTTCAGGTTTTATGCTTAGAGTTTTAATCAATTTTAAGCCTATTTTTTTCATGGTGTGAGATAAGGGTACAATTCCATTGTTTTGCACGTGGACATGAGTTTTCCCATTGCCGTTTATTGAAGAGGCTGCTTTCTCCTC